CACTTAACTACATTTTTAAAGAGCTCCTCAATTGAAGGTAAGGTTTGTCCCATGTATGATCTAAATTGATATTGTTTTATGTATCTTTTCATATTTGTGCAAATCTTTCTTAAACAGAAAATGGACATAATTCAATGGATATCAATCAACAAAGAGGTAAGAATGTGCATGCTATAAGAATATGTTGAAGGCTAGCTGTATTGGGTGCAGATGAATGAACTGCTCACTTTTGTGTCTGTGTCTGCAGGTATACAGACGAGGAGGCATACAAAGGTATGTCAATTGGTATTGGTATGTTATGCAGATCACATGTACCATCCTCCTCCCTTACCTCTTTAATGAAAATCCCATAGGCCTCTACATTATGGACAAGGTATGTGTATGAAAACCATTACCAAAACAGTTTTTTTCATTCACATTTACCACAAAAACCAAGGTATGGATACTGTTGTGTGCATGTTTTGTTAAACATCTGTATAATTACAATTTTTTGGATTCACAGACTTCACTCTCCCTACACCTCTGATGAATATAACAGGAAACCAGTTCGATCACCATACACTGCAAAATCATTATGGCTATGGATACGGAGAACATCAATACATTAACATCAACATGCCAGAGGAAATATACATTGGACTTGGGGCTCTGCTGGGAGTTGATTTTTTTATTCTGCTTTGCCACTAAAATCAATATTAACACTGACAACTAAAATATTGTGTTATTGTTGTTATTGTTATGCATATTATTAATTAATAATAATAATAATAATGGGGGGGGGTTCTTTGAGGATCCATTAAAAGGGTTCTTCAAATAACTTATAGGGGTTCCCCCACAGTTTCAATTTGAAGAACCCCTAAAGGATCCTCCAGGAACCTTTACTTTTTAGAGTGTAGGGTGGTGCTGGTGTCACACCCTGGTTCTGGGACTCATTATGTTGAGCCAGGGTGTGTGCAGTCTATGTGGTTTTGTTCTATGTTGGGTGTCAAAGTGTTGTATTTCTAGGTTTGGTCAATGACTCCCAATTGGAGGTAACGAGTGTCAGCTGTCGGCTCGTTATCTCTGATTGGGAGCCATATTTATTTCTGTATGTTTTCCTGTGGGGTTTGTGGGTTATTGTTCCGTGTTTCAGTCGTTGTACTGTGGACTTCACGAGTCGTCTTTTGTTTTGTATTTCGGTGCTTTTCAATTAAAGTCATGTTCGTTCAACGCGCTGCGCTTTGGTCTCCTTCACTCCTAGACGATCGTGAAAGAATAACCCACCAAAGAAAGACCAAGCAGCGCGTCCAGGAGCAACAGGATCCACCTACACAGGATTTATATCCACCCATAAAGGATTCATGGACATGGGAGGAGATTCTGGATGGTAAGGGACCTTGGGCACAACCGGGAGAATATCGCCGTCCTCGGGAAGAGCTGGAGGCAGCTAAAGCCGAGAGGCGGCGATATGAGGAGGCAGCACGGAGGCAAGACTGGAAGCCTGTGGGTACTACCCAAGAATTTCTTGGGGGGGGGCTAAGAGGGAGTGTGGCGAAGTCAGGTAGGAGACCTGCGCCTACTCCCTGGACTGACCGTGGAGAGCGAGAGTACGGGCAGACACCGTGTTACGCAGTTGAGCGCATGGTGTCTCCTGTACGCAGGCATAGCCCGGTTCGGTACAGTCCAGCTCCACGTATCGGCCGGGCCAGATTGAGTGTTGAGCCGGATGTCATGAGGCCGGTCCCACGCAGCAGGTCACCAGTGCGTCTCCTCGGGCCGGCGTACATGGCACCAGCCTTACGCATGGTGTTCCCGGTTCGCCCACATAGGCCGGTGCGGGTTATTCCACCTCCCCGTACTGGTCGGGCGACGGGGAGCATCAACCCAGGTAAGGTTGGGCAGGCTCAGTGCTCAAGGGAGCCAGTACGCCTGCACGGGCCGGTATTTCCGGCGCCACCTCCTCGCTCCAGCCCAGTACCACCAGTACCTACACCACGCACCAGGTTTCCTGTGCGTCTTCAGAGCCCTGTGTCTCCTCCACGCACTGGCTCGATGGTGCGTGTCTCCAGCCCTTTACCACCAGTGCATAAACCACGCACCAAGCCTCCTGTGTGTCCCCAGAGTCCTGTGCGTCCTGTTGTTGCTTCCCGCACTAGCCCTGAGATGCGTGTCCTCAGCCCGGTACCTCCTGTTCCGGCACCACGCACCAGGCCTACGATGCGCCTCAGACGGCCAGAGTCGGCCGTCTGCCCAACGGGGCCTGAACTGTCCGTCTGCCCAACGCCGTCTGAACGGCCCGTCTGCCCAACGGCGCCTGAACTGTCCGTCTGCCCAACGCCGTCTGAACTGCCCGTCTGCCCAACGGCGCCTGAACTGCCCGTCTGCCCAACGCCGTCTGAACTGTCCGTCTGCCCAACGCCGTCTGAACTGCCCGTCTGTACTGAGCCTGCAAAGCCGCCCGTCTGCCATGAGCCTTCAGAGCTGTCCGCCAGACCGGAGCCGCTAGAGCTCTCCGCCAGACAGGATCAGCCAGAGCCTTCCGCCAGACCGGATCAGCCAGAGCCTTCCGCCAGACAGGATCAGCCAGAGCCTTCGGCCAGACAGGATCAGCCAGAGCCTTCGGCCAGACAGGATCAGCCAGAGCCTTCCGCCAGACCGGATCAGCCAGAGCCTTCCGCCAGACCGGATCAGCCAGAGCCTTCCGCCAGACAGGATCAGCCAGAGCCTTCGGCCAGACCGGATCAGCCAGATCCGTCGGCCAGCCATGAGCAGCCAGATCCGTCAGCCAGCCATGAGCAGCCAGATCCGTCAGCCAGCCATGAGCAGCCAGATCCGTCAGCCAGCCATGAGCAGCCAGATCCTTCAGCCAGCCATGAGCCGTTCAGCCAGGATCCGCCAGAGCCGTCCAGCCAGGATCCGCCAGAGCCAACCAGCCAGGATCCGCCATTGAGTCAGGTGCTGCCCCTTAGTCTGGTGCTGCCCCTTAGTCTGGTGCTGCCCCTTAGTCCGGTGCTGCCCCTTAGTCCGGTGCTGCCCCTTAGTCCGGTGCTGCCTCTTAGTCCGGTGCTGCCCCTTAAACCGGTGGGGGTCATTTGGAGGAACCTACGTAAGCGGGTAGTGACTATGGTGGGGTGGTGGTCTAGGCCGGAGCCAGAACCGCCACCGAGGAGGTATGCCCGCCCAGCCCTCCCCTGTTTGGGGGTTTTGAGGCGCGGTCGCAGTCCGCGCCTTTAGGGGGGGGGTACTGTCACACCCTGGTTCTGGGACTCATTATGTTGAGCCAGGGTGTGTGCAGTCTATGTGGTTTTGTTCTATGTTGGGTGTCAAAGTGTTGTATTTCTAGGTTTGGTCAATGACTCCCAATCGGAGGTAACGAGTGTCAGCTGTCGGCTCGTTATCTCTGATTGGGAGCCATATTTATTTCTGTATGTTTTCCTGTGGGGTTTGTGGGTTATTGTTCCGTGTTTCAGTCGTTGTACTGTGGACTTCACGAGTCGTCTTTTGTTTTGTATTTCGGTGCTTTTCAATTAAAGTCATGTTCGTTCAACGCGCTGCGCTTTGGTCTCCTTCACTCCTAGACGATCGTGACAGCTGGAGATGATGTATATGAAGTATTTTTTCCCTTTAACTGCTAATTTCCCATTATTAAATTATTGTTTGTAAGCGTTATTAGGCTTATTTGTTAATGTTTTAGTAACATCAGTATTGTATGTATAACCCATAATCATATGAACATCAAGCATTTTAACAGTAGCAGTGTGTGGGTAAAATCACAGGGGAACGCAATCCAGGGGGGAAAAAGCCATTTTTTACTAAATATTTACTAAATAAACTAAAGTAAAAAAAAGTAACACAATAAAATAACTATAACGAGGCTATATACCGAGGGTACTGGTACAGAGTCAATGTGCAGGGGTACAAGTTAGTTGAGGTAATTGAGGTAATATGTACATGTAGGTAGGGGTAAAGTGACTATGCATAGCAGCAGAGTAAAAAAAGCGGGGGTCAATGCAAATAGTTCAGGTAGCCATTTGATTAACTGTTCAGCAGTGTTATGGCTTGGGGTGGAAGCTGTTAAGGAGCCTTTTGGATCTATACTTGGCGCTCCGGTACCGCTTGCCATGCGGTAGCAGAGAGAACAGTCTATGACTAGGGTGGCTGGAGTCTTTGACCATTTTTATGGCCTTCCTCTGACACCGCCTGGTATAGAGGTCCTGGATGGCAGGAAGCTTGGTCCCAGTGATGTACTGGGCCATACGCACTACCCCCTGTAGCGCCTTGCGGTCAGATGCCGAGCAGTTGCCATACCAGGTGGTGATGCAACCAGTCAGGATGCTCTCGATGGTGCAGCTGTAGAACCTTTTGAGGATCTGAGGCAGTGTTCCCATTGTTTATAAACGTGTCTCCAACCCCCATATCACACAATCACAAACTGAAAGGCAAAGTTGGTTCCAAGTCTTTGGTCACGTTCGCGTGGGTCAAACAAAAACACCCTAATGATTGGTTGACAATAGAGCCTCCCACAATGCAAGCGATGGCTGCAGGATGAAGTTGGTGAAGAGCAACTGCAGAAATTTGCAGTCGACTGCAGTCAAAACTTGATGACCTTTGATCACATTATTTTTGTAAAGCTCATGCAGTGGACATGTAGGTGCAAGTCGAAACAAATAAATCCCCATAATGCAACACACTTTGAATGAGTGCTCAAACGCGCCCATTCGCGTAAAAATTTTTTGCAGGACATAATCTATTTATTGTTTAATGCCAACGGCGTGTCCATTTTTTTATTGTATGTTTCTTCATCATAATAATATCTAACAAAGACATTACATTTTTCATGGAGACAGTGGGGTTATGAAAAAGCTGACCGACACACGTCTGGCCATATGCATTGAGGGCCAGTACAGTGCTACAGGGGAGACAGAATACAATATTGACCCTACCGCATAGTTTTCAGTTCACTTTTAACTCTAGAAACTAAAGAGACACCCACTTTCTGTTGAACTGACGTGTTGAAGCGCCTGTGTAGTGGTGACGTGTCTCTAAAGTGCTTTCTTTCCCAGCGCAGAGCTTTTTGCCCGTAGTCAGAACGAAAACTGGAGAGACCCACTATCTGACACACAGGGACCACACACTCAAAGAACGTAACGCTTGGGACATCATCATGGGCAGTGAGTATCCCCCAGAATTAAGTAGCTAGCTAGCAAGAGGACGATTTCACAAACAGGAAACGTTTGATGAATCAGATCCAAGCTATGAGATTTTTCAACGATTGGCTCGATGGAGGCCATTTTCATTGTAGCTAGCTAGCTAACATTTAGTTAGTTAGACGACGAGTACTCTGTGTTTAAAACACATTTTCAACTCCTGTCTTCAACAGCAATGTCTGCAATGAAATGGTTAGTTTTGTCAGTTGTTTATACTAACGTTAGTTAGGTAACTAAGGTTAACTAATTTAGCTAGCTAACGTTAGCTGTCAGTTGATAGCTAGTTAACTAGCTACTTGCTAACATTACATTAGCCGGCTAGCTAGCTAACAGCTGTACATATTTGTTATTTACTTCGTATTATTAAATGCCCGATCAGCTACATTGATAACTATTTAATATCTACCATTGTTACATGATCATTGATATCTCAGAGTTCGGTAACTTTACAGGTTTATCTTGCAGTATTTATGCTAACATAGCTAGCTATATTTGAAGCAGACAGCTAGACCAGTGATGACGACGCACAGCTAACAGTCAGTGTTTGCCACAAATAACTAACTCCATATCATAAGCAGCAAATGCTAACTGAAACCCTTTTGCTGGTATGCAAAATGTTTAATTGAATAATTGTGTATAGTGCTATCTGTTTTCATAGTGAATTCGCTTATATCCAAAGATGCAAACCGCTAGTAATGCATGTAACGTTACCGCTATGCCACGTCCCCCTACAAATAGGTTCACTGCCCTTGATTTATGTTTATTATGGTGAACCAATAACAACCCTCCCTTTGTCTGTTTTTTAGTCAAATTCCTGGAGGTAATAAAGCCGTTCTGCGCGGTATTACCTGAAATCCAGAAACCCGAAAGAAAGGTACAGTATTTACTTAATGATGACAAGAATCGTTTTACATTAAACTTTATAAACCTCTGTATGTGTTACATTGTTAATGCTGTCATTGTTACTTCCATGTCTCACTGTAATTATTGTGCTCAACAGATCCAGTTCAGAGAGAAGGTACTATGGACAGCCATCACTCTCTTCATTTTCCTCGTGTGCTGCCAGGTAAATATCTGCCTTTTTGTTCACACAATCTTTTCTAGCATGTTAAACGAGTAGAATTAAATAAAGAAAAACCTCACACCTGAATGTCTGTCACGTCTATCCTCCAGATTCCCCTGTTTGGCATCATGTCATCAGACTCTGCAGATCCCTTCTACTGGATGAGAGTGATTTTGGCCTCCAACAGAGGTGGGTTGTCACTTTTGCAATGTAGAGACATCAAATTAGATTAACAGGTGAATAAATGAATGGCTCTGTGAATTGATAAGTCAATCAAGGGACATATCAACGAATTAGTAATTGAGTGTGTGAATTGATAAAGTGTTGAGTGAATGTTGTTGGTCAATTGGAGTGATAACTTTTATCTCCGACTTGAATGGGTGAATGGTGTTATTTCATCTCTATGGCTCTGCTCTCCTGTTAACGTCCCCTGGGTTTCTCCCTCAAGGTACCCTGATGGAGCTGGGTATCTCTCCGATTGTCACCTCAGGCCTCATCATGCAGCTCCTGGCTGGGGCTAAGATCATCGAGGTGGGAGACACCCCCAAAGACAGGGCCCTCTTCAATGGAGCACAAAAATGTAAGACCACAAGCCCCACTTCCTGTTCCTAGTTTGAGTATCTTTGATTTGATTCTGTCAAGCTTGGAGCATTACTGTGAATGAGGCCATAGATTCTTTAACCCCTTGCTTTCTCCTACAGTGTTTGGTATGATCATCACCATTGGTCAGGCCATCGTGTATGTGATGACTGGCATGTACGGAGACCCCTCCGATATGGGCGCTGGGATCTGTCTTCTCATCATCATCCAGGTGAGCCCTCCTCCCCACCCCTCTGAGTCATATTCTTATCCCTACTCTTTACTTCCCCTGTCAGATCCAAGCTTGGTCCAATAGTTAAAACACTCCTTTCTTGCTACATTTTCTGAGGTTATCACTATTAATCTGTAAGTGATTGGATAATATAGAACAAGGTTCACATCCTATTCTTTAACCAATCCAACCCTCTCAGATTACTTCAAGGAATGTATGAAGAATAGGTATATTTAAAGGAAGTCAAACAGGGCTCCAGTGCGGGTGATTTGTCTCTGTGTCTCTAACCCATCTGTCTCCCCTTCCAGCTGTTTGTGGCAGGTCTGATCGTGCTGCTGCTGGATGAGCTGCTGCAGAAGGGTTATGGTCTGGGCTCTGGTATCTCTCTGTTCATTGCCACCAACATCTGTGAGACCATCGTCTGGAAGGCCTTTAGCCCCACCACCGTCAACACTGGCAGGGGTATGATACCAGACCAGAGGGCTGTGAGAGAGGGACAGCAGGGCTCATAGGGGCTAAACTGGGGCATTGAAACTGATGTGCCATGTCTGGGTGTACATTTAGGACAGACTTACTAATTTCCACTATCAGAGATAAACATACCTGGTTATATGTAAGTAGTAATTTCACATAAGACCAACTAGGGCTCCTATAGATCCAGACTTGGCCTTGAAAACCCCCAGCGGTCTGGGTTAGGTCAGGTGGTCTCTAGATGTGAGGCTGATGTTTGAGTATCTTGTCTTTGGTTCAGGCACAGAGTTTGAGGGGGCTATCATTGCCCTCTTCCATCTGCTGGCCACTCGGACAGACAAGGTGCGCGCCCTGAGAGAGGCCTTCTACCGCCAGAACCTGCCCAACCTCATGAACCTCCTCGCCACCGTCTTCGTCTTTGGTGTAGTCATATACTTCCAGGTCAGTAACGCTCTTTCTTCATTGTCTGTCCTAATACCAGTTAAAGGAGTTGAACACATTTGTTATTGTCAGATAATTGGTCCCTCAAAAAACAACACATAGCAATTGTTTTTTCTTCACCTTTTTAGTAATGTCCATTTAGACTTTATAAATGTATACTGTATCTCACCATGTCCGTCTCTTCCTCCCATCTCTCTACAGGGCTTCAGGGTGGACCTGCCCATTAAGTCTGCCCGTTACCGTGGCCAGTACAACACTTATCCCATCAAGCTCTTCTATACCTCCAACATTCCCATCATCCTCCAGTCTGCCCTCGTGTCCAACCTGTACGTCATCTCTCAGATGCTCTCCACACGATTCAGTGGTAACTTCCTGGTTAACCTGCTGGGCACCTGGTCGGTAAGTACACACCATTTTAAACCATTTACCTGAACTACTATGTCTGAACTCTAAACTCAGTTTAACTACATTTGACAAGTTTGTCACATTAACATATCCAGCAACATAGACTGTATGAGATGACCAGACTTGTGCGTGTGTTTGTAGGACACATCGTCAGGCGGTCCAGCCCGTGCCTACCCAGTGGGTGGGCTCTGTTACTACTTCTCTCCCCCGGAGTCGTTTGGCTCGGTCCTAGATGACCCCATCCATGCTGCTATCTACATATGCTTCATGCTGGGCTCCTGTGCCTTTTTCTCCAAGACCTGGATTGAGGTGTCCGGCTCCTCTGCCAAAGATGTAAGTCCTGCTACCACATGTGCTCTACATTTGTTAGACTATGTATTAATCAACTGATTCGATTTCATTTGAAACAGACAAGTGGTTTTGATGTAGAAATCTTATTAACTAAACATTTCTAGGGCTTTTAGGGGCAACATGTGTTATGTAAACCATGAGTGTGTGTTTTGTCTCCCAGGTGGCTAAGCAGCTAAAGGAGCAACAGATGGTTATGAGGGGACACAGAGAGACCTCCATGGTCCATGAACTCAACAGGTGAACAATCTCAGCCATCTCTCTAACATTTAGCCATAACAATCCACATCATCATAGCTTTACCAGGGTTTAATATTACACTATTCCAAACAAACTTTCTTCTGGTAATGATTGGTGCACTACTACTTGAATTTGCCTCCCGAACAACCCTTAATCTTGCCTATGTGTGTTCCAGGTACATCCCCACAGCGGCTGCCTTTGGTGGTCTCTGTATCGGCGGCCTTTCCGTCATGGCGGACTTCCTGGGTGCTATCGGCTCGGGCACGGGTATCCTGCTAGCCGTCACCATCATCTACCAGTACTTTGAGATCTTTGTCAAGGAGCAGAGTGAAATGGGCAGCATGGGAGCCCTGCTCTTTTAGACAGACACCTGGCTGCCAACATCTGCGACATAATGACCCTCTTAATGCACATGCACATGGACATGCCCCAGATCAGACCAAGTCCCACCAAACCTCCTATTATTATTCCCATTATTATATGTCCATTTAGGTTTTTTAATCTGCATAATTAATCTGTTCTCTCCTGTGTCATTTCCCGGATGCTTTCTGGCATCTCCCCCTGACATGGCCTACAGGAGGTTCAGCTCAAACAGAATGGTTTGTGTAGCGACGTGGTGTGACTGACTACATCCTGACATTCACAACCCCTGGTCTGCTCCCCCTTTTAGTTATAACACATAGATCAATCTCTAAACTCAGTTTGCCTGATGCCTGGGACTGGTTAACCTCCTCAGGGTCATCATCTGAAGTGTTTCATATCTGTATAAAATGGTCTGATCCACAAGCGTTTATGGGGGGGGGTTCCTTTTCAGACTGAGACAAGAGCTCTGTGGCTCTGTTGTATGCAATCATGTATACTACACTGGGGTGAGGGCAGTCCCTCTCTTACTGGACTTCTTTCATACAACCCAACACAGTATACATAGGAATACTTAGTTTTTCTGCTTTAATTCCATCATCTCTATTACCTGGAGGATATAGATGGGTATGAGTGTACAGTATACCTTCACAGCTGGGCTCTTTGGTACAATCTTTATCTGGGGTGTTGACCTGATGGCCACTCATTTCACTGATTGAGTAGCAAAGGAAGTTTTGGACCAGACTCAGAACTATTCAGAATATAACCATGTTTGTCTGCCAGACGTGACTGTTTAAAAGCAGCGATCCAATATAGGATCAGGAAGAGGAGTGTAGGGCTCTGTGTGGTCCAGCTTTGTCAAAATCAAATGTGTTTAATGTGAAAGTGTGCAGCAGTGGAAGAGTTTATCAAGTGAACCACTCAGCAGAAGGTCCTTAATGTTGAAACTGGGCTGAAGGAAGGGTGTGTTTAGGGAGAGGTCATCTTATGCCACGTTCATACCTGTTGCCCACTTTGTTGGGTAAAATTGGGTGAGGAAAGATTTTTTGTGTTTGTGTTTTTTGTCTGCTTTGATCATGACTGTATTAAAAACACTTTCACATGTCGTGGATTTTGGTGTTCTGTATATATGCCATGCATTGAATCCATCTGCAGTGTAAAATAAGTTTTTTAATATGTAAAAAAAAATAAAAAATAGTATGCTGTTCCGAACAAATGTATTCCAGGGGAAAAAATGATATTTCTCAATAAAAACTCATTTTAGGGAAAAGTTATTGTTTTTTCTTTGTCTGTAAAGATTATACTAACAACTTGAATTATTGTCTGGATAAATCCATCACAACACACTTCTAGCTTTGTGTCACATGATGAAAAAAACTTTCCAATATCTAGAAGTGTAAACTCATATGGTCTAGTATTGTGTAAACCAACTTGCTTTTATGTCCCCAGTAGCTCAGTTGGTAGAGCATGGCGCTTGCAACGCCTGGGTTGTGGGTTCGTTTCCCACGGGGGCCAGTATGAAAAAATGTATGCACTCACTAACTGTAAGTCGCTCTGGATAAGAGCGTCTGCTAAATGACTAAAATGTAAAAATGTATGTATCTAGCTACTTCAGTCAAGATTATTGTCCCCCACGATGAAATCGGGGAGGAGACTGTGGATCTCATTCTGTCCGTCTGTATTTCCCTTAAATACGATTTATGCTTCGTATGGAGGGTGTTACACAATTGCTGAGCTCCGCAATCATTTCATTGGTCGGCGGGAGGTCCTGTATAAACACAAACTCACTTCCTTGACAGCAGCTCTGCCCCGCGAAACGCAAGAAGTATGAATGCCCTGACTTCTGCAGTGGCCGTATTACAGAACCTTTCATATCATACCAGTACATTAAAGACTATTTATGCTTGATACGATCATGTGTACCGCATCGCCGTGCACTGCGGAGGGCTCCATATAGCTCTGCATTGACATGATTGGTTGACGATTTATGGTAATTAAAAACCGATTTATGGTCATTCAAGCATTTGAATTGGCCATACAACGTGGCCTCTGCAGAACTCAGGGCATTCATACTTCTTGCACTTCGGGAAGCAGAGCAGAGCTGTTGTGAAGGAAATTGTCAAGGAAGTGTGTTTGTGTTTATACAGGAAGTACTGCCCCCCCCTACCGTCAACCAATCATGTTAATGCGGAGCTGTATGGAGCCCTCCGCATTGTCACAACATTTGGGAGGCGCACCGCGATGTGGTACAGAGCTTGATTTGGCCTCCGCAAGCTGGACCACATTACATCAAGCATAAATCGGCCTTAGTCACACACGATATCTCAGACAGCACTGGCCCGATTTTTATGAAACTTGGGTGGATGATGTGTCTTGCCGTAGAGATCCGGCATTTACAAAATTACACTGATTGGCCCAAGGCTGGAACTATAGTAATTTTCTGAAATGTGTGAGTCACACCAGAGAGGAAGAGGCGAAGTGACAGGGATAACTAGGCCCAAAATCTGTCTTCTCCAGCAGGTGGATATGAGTAATGACATTTGGTTATTTGCTACGTGTGACTTATTTATTTATTTATTTTATTTTATTGGGGGGGGTACATCAGCTTTAATATTGCAGATAGAGTGTGGCTTCTATCAATGTAATTGTCTGCATCATTTCCAATTCCCCATATACTTTGGGGGTAAATATATGTATATTATTTTAAATATATGTATATACACTGTCGGTCAAAAGTTTTAGAACACCTACTCATTCAAGGGTTTTTCTTAATTTTTTACTATTTTCATGAAGCTGGTTGAGAGAATGCCAAGAGTGTGCAAAGCTGTCATCAAGGCAAAGGTTGGCTATTTGAAGAATCTCAAATATAAAATATATTTTGATTTGTTTAACACTTTTTTGATTACTACATGATTCCATACGCGTTATTTCATCGTTTTGATGTCTTCACTGTAATTCTACAATGTAAAAAATAGTAAAAATAAAGAAAAACCCTTGAATGAGTAGGTGTTCTAAAACTTTTGACCGGTAGTGTATATATTTTTAAAATATATTTTCCTTTATTTTTTCCCCCTAACCCTACCACCCCTCCCCTAATCGGAGTAAACTAATGGACAACAACACTTACGCTTCTACTTCCAGCTTATACAGTTGAAGTCAGAAGTTTACATACACCTTAGCCAAATACATTTAAACTCAGTTTTTCACAATTCCTGACATTTAATCCAAGTAAAAATTCCCTGTTTTAGGTCAGTTAGGATCACCTTGGGTCAAACGTTTCGGGTAGCCTTCCACAAGCTTCCCACAATAAGTTGGGTGAATTTTGTCCCATTCCTCCTGACAGAGCTGGTGTAACTGAGTCAGGTTTGTAGGCCTCCTTGTTCGCATACACTTTTTCAGTTCTGCCCACACATTTTCTATAGGATTGAGGTCAGGGCTTTGTGATGGCCACTCCAATACCTTGACTTTGTTATCCTTAAGCCATTTTGCCACAACATTGGAAGTATGCTTGGGGTCATTGTCCATTTGGAAGACCCATTTGCGACCAAGCTTTAACTTCCTGACTGATGTCTTGAGATGTTGCTTCAATATATCCACAAAATCTTCCTTACTCATTATGCATTCTATTTTGTGAAGTGCATCAGTCCCTCCTGCAGCAAAGCACCCACACAGCATGATACTGCCACCCCCGTGCTTCACGGTTGGGATGGTGTTCTTCGGCTTGCAAGCAACCCACTTTTTCCTCCAAACATAACGATTGTCATTATGGCCAAACAGTTACATTTTTGTTTCATCAGACCAGAGGACATTTCTCCAAAAAGTATGATCTTTGTCCCCATGTGCAGTTGCTAACCGTAGTCTGGATTTTTTAATGGCGGTTTTGGAGCAGTGGCTTCTTCCTTGCTGAGCGGCCTTTCAGGTTATGTCGATATAGGACTCGTTTTACTGTGGATATAGATACTTTTGTACATGTTTCCTCTAGCATCTTCACAAGGTCCTTTGCTGTTGTTCTGGGATTGATTTGCATTTTTCGCACCAAAGTACGTTCATCTCTAGGAGACAGAACACGCGTCTCCTTCCTGACCGGTATGATGTCTGCGTGGTCCCATGGTGTTTATACTTGCGTACTATTGTTTGTACAGATGAACGTGGTACCTTCAGGCGTTTGGAAATTGCTCCCAAGGATGAACCAGACTTGTGGAGGTCTACAATTATTTTTCTGAGGTCTTGGCTGATTTCTTTTAATTTTCCCATGATGCCAAGCAAAGAGGTAATGAGTTTGAAGGTAGGCCTTGAAATACATCCACAGGTACACCTCCAATTGACTCAAATGATGTCAATTAGCCTATCAGAAGCTTCTAAAGCCATTACATCATTTTCTGGAATTTTCCAAGCTGTTTAAAGTCACAGTCAATTTAGTGTATGTAAACTTCTGACCCACTGGAATTGTGATACAGTGAATTATAAGTGAAATAATCTGTCTGTAAACAATTGTTGGAAAAATTACTTGTGTCATGCACAAAGTAGATGTCCTAACCGACTTGCCAAAACTATAATTTGTTAACAAGAAATTTGTGGAGGGGTTGAAAAAATGAGTTTTAATGACTCCAACCTAAGTGTATGTAAACTTCCGACTTCAACTATACATACTATATACATTTTACAGACACAGTATATTGTACATTAGTTATCTTTTGTTTGTTTTTAGTCCCATCCTTCAGTTACCCTCAACCCCTCCCATCTATCTCTGAAGACCATCCAGTTTTGAGTTCTATTTGCCATACATTTTTCAACTGTGCTGTGATGTTTCAAAAAAGATCTGAACCTACAGTTGAAGTCGGAAGTTTACATACACCTTAGCCAAATACATTTAAACTCAGTTTTTCACAATTCCTGACATTTAATCCTAGTAAAAATGCCCTGTTTTAGGTCAGTTAGGATCACCACTTTATTTTAAGAATGTAAAATGTCAGAATAATAGTAGAGAGAATGATTTATTTCAGCTATTATTTATTTCATCACATTCCCAGTGGGTCAGAAGTTTACATACACTCAATTAGTATTTGGTAGCATTGCCTTTAAATTGTTTAACTTGGGTCAAATGTTTCGGGTAGCCTTCCACAAGCTTCCCACAATAAGTTGGGTGAATTTTGTCCCATTCCTCCTGACAGAGCTGGTGTAACTGAGTCAGGTTTGTAGGCCTCCTTGTTCGCACACACTTTTTCAGTTCTGCCCACACATTTTCTATAGGATTGAGGTCAGGGCTCTGTGATGGCCACTCCAATACCTTGACTTTGTTATCCTTAAGCCATTTTGCCACAACATTGGAAGTATGCTTGGGGTCATTGTCCATTTGGAAGACCCATTTGCGACCAAGCTTTAACTTCCTGACTGATGTCTTGAGATGTTGCTTCAATATATCCACAAAATCTTCCTTACTCATTATGCATTCTATTTTGTGAAGTGCATCAGTCCCTCCTGCAGCAAAGCACCCACACAGCATGATACTGCCACCCCCGTGCTTCACGGTTGGGATGGTGTTCTTCGGCTTGCAAGCAACCCACTTTTTCCTCCAAACATAACGATTGTCATTATGGCCAAACAGTTACATTTTTGTTTCATCAGACCAGAGGACATTTCTCCAAAAAGTATGATCTTTGTCCCCATGTGCAGTTGCTAACCGTAGTCTGGATTTTTTAATGGCGGTTTTGGAGCAGTGGCTTCTTCCTTGCTGAGCGGCCTTTCAGGTTATGTCGATATAGGACTCGTTTTACTGTGGATATAGATACTTTTGTACATGTTTCCTCTAGCATCTTCACAAGGTCCTTTGCTGTTGTTCTGGGATTGATTTGCACTTTTCGCACCAAAGTACGTTCATCTCTAGGAGACAGAACACGCGTCTCCTTCCTGACCGGTATGATGTCTGCGTGGTCCCATGGTGTTTATACTTGCGTACTATTGTTTGTACAGATGAACGTGGTACCTTCAGGCGTTTGGAAATTGCTCCCAAGGATGAACCAGACTTGTGGAGGTCTACAATTCTTTTTCTGAGGTCTTGGCTGATTTCTTTTAATTTTCCCATGATGCCAAGCAAAGAGGTAATGAGTTTGAAGGTAGGCCTTGAAATACATCCACAGGTACACCTCCAATTGACTCAAATGATGTCAATTAGCCTATCAGAAGCTTCTAAAGCCATTACATCATTTTCTGGAATTTTCCAAGCTGTTTAAAGTCACAGTCAATTTAGTGTATGTAAACTTCTGACCCACT